GGTCAGGAGTGTTGGCAGGCCAGTTGAGCACAGTAAACCATTTACCACTGGTTTTGGCACTGTGAGCAGGTGCCAGGTCGTGCTGAAAAATGAAATCTTCATCTCCATAAAGCTTTTCAGCAGATGGAAGCATGAAGTGCTCCAAGATCTCCTGATAGCTGCACTGACCCTGGCCTTGATAAAACACAGTGGACCAACACCAGCAGCTGACATGGGACCCCAGACCATCACTGACTGACAACTCTTCTTGTTGTGCAGCGTTTTCTGCCACACGTTTTCCTTCCCACAGACTTCCCACTGAGGTGCCTTGATACAGCACTCTGGGAACAGCCTATTGGTTCAGAAATGTCTTTCTGTGTCTTACCCTCTTGCTTGAGGGTGTCAGTGATGGCCTTCTGGACAGCATTCAGGTCAGCAGTCTGACCCATGATTGTGGTTTTGAGTAATGAACCAGGCTGGGAGTTTTTAAAAGCCTCAGGAATCTTTTACAGGTGTTTAGAGATAATTCATTGATTCAGATGATTAGGTTAATAAGTCGTTTAGACAAACTTTTCATGATACGCTAATTTTTTGAGATAGGGATTTTTGCTTTTTCTTTACTTTTTGCCAAAATCATCAATGTTAAAAAATAAAAGGCTTGAACTACTTCAGTTGGTGTGCAATAAATCTAAAATATATGAAAGTTTAATGTCTATCAGTACATTACAGAAAATAATGAACTTTATCACAATATGCTAATTTTTTGAGAAGGCCATGTATATGACTGAAGTTGGATTGTAAATAATTTCTTAACGTAATTTATATTATAAAACAGTTATGTTGAACTGTCCTACTGTCATCTAAAATGGTTTAGAGCAAGTTTGTGGTTATGAACAATTAATATCTTACCTGTTGTAGATAGCCATTTAAAAAGACTCAGTTTCAACAAATACTTTATTTCCAGACTGAAATAAGGAGCCTAAGTCCAAGTGAGGCCAAGACAAAAATGGAGAACTGCCATCTTAAAATTTCAACCTCAGTCATTTTAGTTTCTGCAAACATTATTTTAGAAACATTGCCAATTTTACTGAGTTATTCACTTAAATTTTTCTGATTATTTGCAGGTGCAATATAATCATCAGCAGCAAAATGTAGCACTCACAGTACAACAGGAATATTATGTTTCTGCAGTAAAAACATGTCATGTGAAACTGAGTGCTGTAAACATCTATTCAGTATCATTTGCATAAACTGTAATGACTTGTTGGGGAATCGAAGCCATTTTAAAGTGACAGAAATCTACTTTAGTCTTAAATCTGAACTAGCTGTTAGTTCATCGATTCAGTCAGAGTTCAATCATTTCTTCTAAACAGAGATTGTTTAAAGTTATCTACAATATATAAAATGTTAAAATGTTCCTAACTTTTGTCCAGTTAAAAAGAAGAAAATTCAAAGCTATTCCTTCAATACATCAGAGTTTCAGAGTTAGAGGACTCACCTGAGTAAACGGTACCATTGACCTCCACAGAAACACTGATACTGGCCGGTCCGTTAGTAGAGATGCTCAGGGACAAATCCTGCTTTTTTTCTGCAAGACAAAAACTTCAATTAATGAACCTTTAAATATTAAATAATAAAATAAAAACAACTTTGCATGAACTGTCAAGTGTAGACACAACTCTTCACAAAGAAAATGAATTCAGTTCAATTCTAAACATCGAGACAGTAGGATGAAACGTCAAGGCACTAATCACATGGTGGGAACCATGTTATTCAAGCCTTGAAGTGTGCGCCATTCAGCGAAGAAAAGAACAGCAAGCTGCTGACTGGCTTCAGAACCTCACCTGATTGGGTAGTAATTTCGGCCTATGTTACTGTTTTTCATCAGTGGACAAAAGACATTAGTGCTAAAGGCACGGATATAACAGACTCTGTTTTAACCAGTCGGAAACAACATTTGACTTCTGTTTAATTTTCTTTTAGTCATTGGAAATATTGAACTTAATCCAGGTCCAGATAAAAATGTTTTTATGTCCACTTTTTTTAAATTTTATGGGATTTTATACATATGTTTTTAATAATTATCTTGACC